AAATAAAATAAAATAAAATAAAATAAAATAAAATAAAATAAAATAAAGTAAAATTAAGTAAAAGATTATAAAAAAAAATAAAATAAAATAAATTGAAACAGATAAAACAAAAAATATTAAAACCGATATAAAAAATTAAATTCAACAAGTAATTTTTAAGCAAAAAACAAAACCGACTTCAATTCTTATATTAAAGTTTAAGATTATCGTTAATCTCTTCATGATCAAATGATCGGATTAAAACCAAATTAAAATGGGACCACCTGTGAGGTAACACCTTTCCTTTAAAACAAGAATTATATAAATCGGTTAACGTATGCGGTAACATACATACATAAAAAAAATATAATAAAATAAAAAAATTAAAATATTCCGACGAATTGATAACCTTCCTCCTGTTTGTGAAGTCGGTTAAAAAGAAAATTAATAATAATAATAATGACAGTGGACAAAAACAAATAAAATAAAATAAATATGTAATATATATAAATAAATATAAAAAATAATGAATTAAAAGAGAATAAAATAAATTAAACAAAATCCAATAATATTAAAAAAAAATAAAATGAAGTATTTAGATAAAATAAAATCAAAACTGCAAGTGATATAAAAAAAAGCAAAATTAAAAAAAAAAAATAAAAACTAAACGCAATATAAAAATAAAAATGAAATAAAAAAAAAACAAAGTTAAATAAAACCAAAATATAAAATTAAAAATTAAAATTGAATAAAAAAAGATTTATGTAAACATAATAAAGTAAATCAAATAACTATAAAAATAAAAGTACCACTTTCAATGCTCTTATTAAAATTTAGGAGTACCGTTCATTTAATGAAGTAAAGTGGAAACAAAACTAAGACAAAAAAAGGAAAAGTTAAGCTAAACACATATTGGTTAAAAAATAAACAACTGAATATAATCAAATTAAATAAAATAAGTAAATAAGCAAAACACACATTCTCAACAATGCAAATATACAAATTTAGGAGTGCCGTTAATTTAATGAAGTAAAATGAAAATAAAGTAATACAAAAGAAATTAAAAAATTCGTAAATAAATACAATCACTTTAAATAAAACAATAACGAAATGAAAAGTGAAAGTAAAGGTAATTACTGAAGTAAGAATAAAAAAAAAACAAAAAATAAAACAACACAGATAAATCAGACACAAACAAAATGAAATAACATAGAATAAAACAATAAAATAAACATATGAAATCAAATAAGACTGCTGAAATTTACGAAGGAAATGATCTCGGAATGGTTTTTAAGTTTCCGGAATTATTGTGAAAAAATAAATAACTCATTTCCAAAGAAAGGTCCCTTAGGATCCAGCCTAGTGATGATGATCGTTTGTTAAGAGATTCGAAAAAAATTTATTTAAAATCACCGTTATATCCTAAAGAATTCATGAAAGGCGGTACAATTATAAACTTCTTAGACCCTGGAAGTTCCATAGCGGTATTTTTTCAATGGATTTCCTACACCTGCCCTTATAAAGTGAAAAGGGTGTATTCATGAACCCTTTGATCCACATTTTCGAAACACTACCCCACTTTTTTACTATCTAGTGTATCTATCATACATACATATATTCTTATAATCTAGCTTCTTGTGGGTGAAAAAAGATGATTGTGTTAAATATAATTTTTTTTCAATCCAAATTAGAAAAAAACGAATGATTTAAATTATTCCATATATTTTAAAAAGGAGTACAATAACAGCGATAAGCAAACTACTAATCTTAGGTAATATTTAGTTGGAGCAGCAATCTACGTTTAATAAATTGAGTGAAATTTTTATACCAAAAAGAATTTAAAAAGAAGTTTGAAAGTGATCGTATTGAAAGTTTAACACAAAAAACAAAACATAAAAAAAAACTAAAATAAAAAAAACTGCTAGTCGTATAAAAAAGTCAATCCAAATACTTCAGTTTACATCCAGTCAAAGTTCACTATTTTAAAGAAGTTTGACTACCACTGTAGTGTTACATGAAACCAAAATATGGCGAAAATAATCAACAAACCCGCCCTAAGCATTTTTACTATCCTACTGCATTCAGCACTTGCGGTGCAAGCAGAGCCACAACTCGATCTGCCACCTCTAAATCCAGACACGCAGGATCCAACGCTCTACTACAATGCGCTCACACCTAGAACACCAGCAAGTCCACAACAAACGCTAGGCGATTTCGATCGCAGTCAACGTTATGGGCCACCATACTCCAGCGATGGAGTGAATGATGATGGCGCTGATGATTTTAGAGTAAATAGCTAATGCATGTATATGTATACATAAATTTACTCAAACAACTTTCTTTTACAAAAACTACTCTCTTCAACAGAACGGCCAGACGTACGATGAGCGCATGCGCTACGGTTATGCCTATCCGGCAAGGCAGCCGAACTTTACACGCCCTGTCGCTGATTCACCCTTCTCTGACTACAATAACAATAATATAGGACAACAGCAACGCGATAATTATCGTTTCCCCAATCATAATTATGATAATCCAAGTGATCGCTTCAATAACAACAATCGGTATGCAGATGGTCTTGATGATCGTCAGCAAGATCGCTTCAACAATCCAACTAATGATTACAACGCACGCTTTAATGGAAATCAACCACCAGTTGGAAGCGATTTTGAACCAAATAGTCCCTTTAATCCGAATAATCCTTATAACAATGATCGTAGTCGCTTTGAGAATCCTTTCCGTCCAAATCAAGATCGTTTTAATTTGAATAATGATCGTTACTTTGAGAGGCAACGTTTCCAACAAGATCGCCGCTATCAAATTGAATTGGAGAAGCTGCGTAATTTGCTGGTCGAGACTGATCACAAAGGATCGCTGGAGTGTACAGCAAATGTGGCAGCGCAATGGAACTTTGAGACAAATGTGAATGAGATAACGCAAGCGCAAGCGGTGAGTAAGAGAGAGTGAGTGAGTTAGAGAAGGAGAGGAGTGAGGAGTGAGGAAGTAATAGTCAGAGTAAAAGAGTCGCACAGAAGTTCGAGGGAAAGCTAAGCAAGAATCCTTCAGCTTACTCAGCTGTAAAGTAGAAATGTATTTTTTTATATGGGCAAGAGCGCACATCAGCTAAAAAAAATACTTAACAAAGTTAAATTGCAGGCTTTGCAAGGTCAAACTCATACCAGCCATTCGCTCAGTCGCATTGCACAAGAGCCATGTAATACCCTAATACCAGACTTTGTTTGCTTTTTTTTGTTAATTTTTTCGAGAAAATTTCCCAGCATGCAGATCGCATGCGTTTGGTTGCGATAATTTTCACATAAAAAAGTCGTTTGTTTTTGTTTTATTATTTTGTGTTGTGTTGCTGATTTTTAACCAATAAGTTTTCTCACGTGCAAAGCCGCCCGGTTACGCGGCTGTTGTTGTTGCTGCGCGTTTTATCTGTACGTGATTGCGTGTAATGCGGTCACAGTGACAGTGGGTCGTCAAGGTTCGATGTGTCTAAAGTGGCTTACACACATATGTATGTATGTACATTTATAGGCATACATATGCACTTTAGCTCATATGCGGGTGTTTATAGATGCCTTCTCATACCTTGAAGATGTCAATGCCAATTTAAATTGTCGGTTCCTTGCCGAAAGATAAACGAAACGAAAATATCACAACAATTACGAAACAAAAGTCACGTTGAAAGCAAGGTTAAGGTTTGTTTGAATTTTTGATGGCTTCAGCTTAGATATCGGAAATACCAGAATTGTTTAAAGGCTTAAAAAAATTACCTTAATTTTAGTAGTAATTCGTGCATAAACTATCGAAAGTAGTAGTATTCTTTTCGAGCACAAATATAAAACTAGGTTTTTTCTTTGGTTCTTTCAGTCATCGAAGCACATGCTTACTCAAGAAATTAATTTTGGTATTAAACTATGCTAGGTGATTGCAGAGAGGATGCCACATTTCTAATTTCACGATCCATGGCCTCCACGGAGGTCCAGTATCTCACAACACAACAGACCATCAGTCATTTTGGTTCCGTGATATTTCAAGAACATAAACCGCTAGCCTTTGACAAGTTACAACTACGACAGCAGATGCTGTGCTCCTGTCACAATCTAAGGTTTACCTTACAATTCGTTGATTACGGACGATCGTCTGATGAAGTACACATTTCTACAGATTCAATCCCTAGTACAACCCGGAGACTGCAAAATGTAATTACGAGCCGTTCCGTAGGTCAACTCCTCGTGTTATTTTGTGCTAGACGAGTCCGGAGCCTACATTAAGACAATGTCATGACGGGGACCAAAGGTTGACATACTCTCTGCGCTGCTCTATAGGGCTACAAGTCCTTGCCATGGAACTAAAAGCACTTATCCGTCCGATAATGCGGTTTGATTTGAATTATTTTTGGTACAAAACTAAGTAATACACCTATTGATGGTGAAAGCACCCTACATAGAAAACTGGAAATCGCACAGGTCCTTTGCTATCAGCATGCGATCAAACTCTTGTGAGAAACAACACCTTCACCAACCTTCATGACCTTAACTATTGGCGTTTTATTTTCTACGAAAAATGTTTCCCTTTTATTGCCCTGCGAAACAACATATCTCTTCACTTCTCTGATAAAAGTTACTGTACTAAGTTAGGTTAGGTTAGGCTATTGTGGCAGACCCAATGAGGGGACCCACTTAGACATAATTAGATTGTCCATTATGTTACCACATTACAAAAATTCGTTGAACGATAACCACACGTTCTCTGTTTGACTAAGAGAAGCGCTGGATGCTCAAAACAAAGTTTCGCAAATGAAATGCGCACAGAGGTGCTTAAACCTTAGTCTAGCGAATGCCGGGAAGTCGGGTGGTGGGATTATTCCACCTCGTTTTCCAGACACCTAGCAGCTAGTAGGGATCCGTGACGATATTAAGTCTCATGGCGTGGGTTCCTAAAGGAACAATGTCGGGCCAGTTCACCTGTAAGAATTGAGAATAGAAGGGCCTTGCAACTTTGCATATAGGGGCTTTCGGCCAGCGCTCGCTCAGCACTCGATGTGAATCCATCTGTCCAACGGAACTTCTCTGCCCTCCCTGTCCAATTCATTAGCCCTGCAATTTCCAATGAAGTCATTGTGTCCAGGGACCCAAATCAGCTTGATTTGTAAGTACTCCGAGGCGGCTGTTGGGATGGTCAGGTATTCCCGGACAAGCGATCCCAGCGCCCTGATTGCCGGTTGCCTATTAGAGTAGATATTCGCCCACCTAGTCGGCAAAACATTGGTGCATAGCCAAATGGCTGACTCTTTTATGGCGGCTAACTCCGCCCCAATGACGCTAAAAAGATACAGCAGTCTGAACATAACATCTATTGAGAGTCATTGCCAGTAGACACCTCTTCCAATACTCCCGCCCAGATTCGATCCATCCGTGAAGATGTTTATTGGAGTCCTACTCCAGAGACTATCATTCCACCATTCCCCCCTTGAAAGGATGTGTGTGGAGAAGGATCCGTTTAGGGCCAGCCTCGAAACACTACGATCCATTTCTTCCGGTAGGAAGTCGAAGCTTTTGAGAATTGTCGAGAGATAACCAGATCTTTTGGGTCTAATGGGTCAGAAAACCGCCGCTTCTTTGCCCGCAATGCCAACAGGTGCGACCCTGGGCATAGCATTTAGCGCTAGAGTAGAAGTGGTCCGGATGACTCCGATGATTCTAACGAGGGCCGCCCCTTACACGCGCTCTAGCTTCCTAACAAGAGTTGACTTTTTCAGTGAATTTCACAACCAGATAAGCTTGAGTGTCCAAGAACTTTCCTCTGACGATTAGTGCCACATCATCCGCGTAGGCAATACTGTACTAACTTCCCTTACCTTTAGATCACGTCTCGTAGCAGCAGTATGATTCCTGAAAAACCGTTAGAAAAATAAAGATGAGTACGGCTAAGTAGCCGAAACAATACTGCCATGCCTAAAATGCAGGTTTGCACTCTTCCTTAGACAAAAAGTCGTACATACCCTTCGATTTGATGGATAATCGAAAAAATTAGTTTCCCTGAGCACGGTTCATGTCAGAGCAATCCATGAATATCGAGAACGTTTAGTGAAATATTTTTTTCAGCGGCAGCTTGTGAGGAAATTTCAGGGACCGAGAACAAAAGGTATGATCGAAACTAAATGTCGTTCTCGTAGGTTTGTTCCAAAGAACGCTTAAAAACCGAAACCAAAATGAGAAAAAAACCATCGGTAGTGTTTTCACAAGAACGAAAGGGAGAACAAAACTGTCGAGAACGTTTTCAATGGGAATTACATTAGAATAAAAAAACTGTGAAACGTTGCCAAAGAACATTTGTAAGACAGCAAAATGGGAACAAAAGTTTCCTGAACATTCTGGAAAAGAACAAAACGGGCAAATATTTTAAGGAGTTTTCTCTCGAAGAACAATTTTGGAACAAAAGTCTCGAGAACTTTCTGACAGAGAATGAAGCGGGAACAAATCTTCGCTGAAATATTCGCCAATAATGAAAGCCAGAATAAATTTTTTCTCGTAGCATTCCATTAGTTTAAAATGGTTACATATTAAAATTAGTTAAAAAGAACTGAATGATAATTATGCGAATTAGGTCGATGCACCTACTCTGACGGGTCCAAGATAGCCTGCGGTGTAGGGTGTAGGGAGAGGGGTATATTCCGAGGAGTTTGATGTCAATCGGTCCCTCCGGCTGGAAAACCACGAAGGCTGAAGTTCCGGGCATTTGTGAAGCCTGTAGAATATTAAGGAATAGTGCTACCAGGAAAGAAAGAGAGATTATTTACTCAGATAGCCAGGTAACACTCCTGGCTATATCATATACTGTAACCAAGTACAAGCTAGTCAAGAAATGCAAGATGGAGTTACGCTCGGCGTTAAGTCAATGTCCATCTCTCTTGTCTGGGTTCCCGGCCATAAGAACATAGAAGGCAATGAGAGAGCAGACGAACTGATCAGACAAATACAAACAGAAATCTACTTGCACCTTCTGAAACTGGCAAGGAGAAGGTGGTCAGAAATTCAGACTTGCAATATAGCACGAGAGCTTTAGTCTGACTTTATCAGGAAAAGAACAGCAGAACTGCTAATTAAATCAAGGATAGAAGTATTTAGAGTTGTAGCGACTATCCCCGGTCATTTCAGTATTTCATTTCCTGTGCGAATGCCCAGGTCTGGTTTATTTAAGACATAAATCTGTCGGGAAACACACAATGGAGCAGTTAGCGGATTTATCTAGTGCTACAATAGGTGGCATATACAAATACATAAGCGGTTCTAAATGGTTTGACTAAACTGCAGGAATGTTCTGACAGGGAGGATTCGATAGAATAAAATATCATTGTCCACGAGAAGTGCACCAAAATGGCGCTTTTTTGCGCAAATTGATTTCTGAGCGACAATTTAGGTAGCACTACAACCAACCAACCAGCCAACAAGGTCGATGCTCAGAAAATGAAAAACTGTTCCATAAATGAATCGCCCTTTCCTCTGGCTTACAATTAACAATCATGGTTCCCACTGAAACGATTTTCCATACCAACACGCAGACGCTCCCCTCATTCTCAAAACTTTTGCCCTCGTTTTGTTCTACAGCAGAACATTCCCCAGACCTTAGTTCCTATTGATCCTCCTTGAAAACGTTCTCGATAATTTCGTTCTCATTTCGCTCTCGCTGTTGGTTCTTTTGCGGGCACGTTCTTGATTTTACATTTTGTTCTCGTGCAGAACTAAAGCAAAACTGGAACGTGTCCTTCGTTTCCGGAAAACTTAAGTCGAAGTTTCTTCGATAAAATATCCCCGAGTAAGTTTGAACCTTAATATCTACTAATATTAAAAATAATACTAGTGAAAAGGCTGCTGATGGGTCCATGTCCAATTTGATAACTTTTTTTAAATCTGCAATGAGCGGTCAATGTCTCCCAGTGAGCTTTTGTTGATGTCTAACCCAAGGCAATGCTCAGAATATAGGTTTTTTTTTTTATTAAAAACTTCGTTATTTTAATTACAGTTGTAATTTTACGAAAATATTAAAATTTAATATTTTATGTACTCCAGCTCAATGCCCAACAAAATTATGTTGACTTTCTGCGCTTGGTCGCCGAGCAGTCAAAGACCGTAAATAAGGAACTTATACTCGATCGACGACTATATCGGCAGCTCATGCTACAGTCTGAAGCTGGACCCAATGCGCTACCCATAGAAACATTGGATCGGGTAAGTTAAAAGAAGCATAAAATTTCGATTAACACTCATCTCTACTTCTCCTCCCAGTACAATCGCCTGATCAATGAAATGCTGTACATTTATAATGAAGCCACAATTTGCGCTTATCAACAACCGTTCGTCTGCAACCTGCGCTACATACCCGATCTCAAGGAGATTATGTCTAAAAGTCGCGACTGGGATGAGTTGCAGCACACCTGGGTGGAGTATCATCGCAAAGCCGGACGTGAAATGCGCGATGGTTATGAACAGCTGGTGGATGTAATGAACGAGGTTGCCTATGTGAATAGTAAGTGGTGTAATTTCTCAACAAAATTCGTTGATTTAATACATATACCTCTGATAGATGTCACGAACGGCGGCGAGTTTTGGTATCTCCCTTATGAGTCAGCCAACTTTCGACAGGACGTTGAGATTGTTTGGGAACAAATACGTCCACTCTACGAGGGTCTACATTCGTATGTGCGTCGTAAATTGCGCGACTATTACGGCCCGAATCGCATCAATCGCATTGCACCCATACCCTCGCATATACTCGGCAATATGTATGCGCAGTCGTGGTCGAACATCTTGGACATTGTCATACCGTATCCTGGACGCAAATTGGTCGATATAACGCCACGCATGATCGAACAAGGCTATACGCCATTGCTTATGTTTCAATTAGCTGAGGAATTCTTCACTTCGATTAATATGTCGGCCGTGGGTCCTGAATTCTATCGCAATTCTGTCTTGGAACAACCCTTGGATGGACGACGTGTATTTTGTGAGCCCTCAGCATGGGATTTCTGTAATCGTCATGATTTTCGTGTTAAAGTTTGTTCGGAAATTAGTCAGAAGGGCCTGCTGAGTGCGCATCACGAGATGGCGCATATACAGTACTTTTTACAGTATAGGCATTTGCCGAAAGTTTTTCGAAATGGTGCAAATCCAGCTTTTCATCAAGCGATCGGCGATGCGGTAACATTGTCGATATCGACATCAAAACATTTTCAAACGATCGGGCTGCTGCAACGCTCGGTCGATGAGTCCAGCTATGACATAAACTACCTCATCACGATGGCTTTGGATAAGGTAAAAGAGACTGTTTTTGGGCTGAATGAAAATGTTGATAAATTTTGGGATTTTTAGGTTGCTTTTCTGCCTTTTGCCTTGGCCTTGGACAACTGGCGCTACGATGTATTTAGTGGGAATACCAACAAGCACACGATGAATTGCCACTTCTGGAATCTCAGGTTAGTCTTCATTTTACAGGGTGCAGCAAAAATTGCGTTAGAAAGTTTAAAAAAATGTTGATGCGAAAAATTTTTAATTTTGGTAGAGAAGACACTACGATAAGCGCACCTTGAACCGAAAGTTTAATCAACTGTTTTTAGATAAAAAGATTCCGAAATTTTTAGTTCTGTAATAATCGGTAACTATTTAAGTAACGAAAAACAATAAGAGCACATATATTGACAGGAATATCGGTTAATATATCAGTAAATATATCGAGGAAAAAGGCTAGGAGTTCGATAAAGATATAGAGATATTAAAATAATGAGATAGAGATATTAAAAATATACCGTAATTGGATAAATATTTTGATGGGTATGGGTACCGATATCGATAACAATGTATAGATAAATTTATCGATGACAGTATCGATTATGAAACAGAAAATTTATATTTTAATATGTTTAATTCGATCAAATAACTAAGGACCCAAAATAATCTTAATAATAAGATTTTTATACATATTTAGACGACTGCAAAATCTTAATTTTTTATTTTTATTTTTTTTTTTGGTAAAATTTAATCGTTATTATGTGATTGTTTTTCGTTATAATCGATACTGAGTTTCTATAACCGATTGCCATCTTTTATGCTCTACAAAATTAAATCTGAAAATGACGGTTAAATATGTTCGAAAAAAATAAAAATCAGAAAAAAACCATTATTATTGATTTAAAATATAAAAATCATAAAATAAGGGTTAGAGATTGGAAAAATACAAATCTAATTAATCGGGATTTTAGTTATTAAGATCATAACCGTTACGTTTTGTTGCACTCTGTACTGCTCTCTCGTGAAAAGTTTTCTAAAATTCCCAATCTCTCTTTTAGGGAGCGCTATGGGGGAATTAAACCGCCAGTGCTACGTTCAGAGAAAGACTTTGATTTGGGAGCAAAATATCACATTCCAGCGAATATACCCTACATCAAGTGAGTAATAGAATTAAAATATTTGGGGGAAATATTAATATGTGGATTCACTAAATTTAAAAATTCATCGTAACGAGCGTTAAACCACGAAAAAAAAAATTGTATCACTGAAATTGGCTTTAGTGTTTTTGAAAAAAGTCTCCATGAATTTTTTTATACAGATTTAGGTATCTTCGAAGCCAAGTATAAGTTTTGAATGCTTCAATGGCTTTTCGGTGTCTCGAAAAATGTTGGCGACAAAACTATTTGGATATGTGGACAAAATATGGGCGTGAGGCTAATTAGACGGCGGATGTTCCATGCATCAAGTCAATGTGTTTACTAATAATGATTGCTTGATTCGATCTAGGAGGAGAACTTTCGTCTTCATGCTTTTCGAGTTTATAAAGTAGGGTTTCTAACTTCCGTTTGTATACCCCCCACACTTGTCTGTTCAGTATTTCTCCAAAGGCAGAGCAGCCATTTAAGTCGAAGAAAACGTACAGAATTAGTTTTGAATTGTTTTTTCTCGAATAAATTTTGTTGGATTTGACTCTTCAAAGGCCCGTGCAGCTAATTGCTGTTTTCTTTCGGTATTCGTCACTCTCGCATTATTTAAAAGTTTCTTTGCATCATATGAATTGAGCAAGTTTTCTTGAGCCGTGAGCACTTGCATTTCCCGTTCAAGTGCCCAAGCAATATGATATTGAAGCTTCTTATGACAACGCCTGAGGTGACCTCCCAACATAAGTATGTATATCTCACTGTGAATCACGTACGCATCCTGCATTATAAGTTTCCGCACTGTATCGAAGATTATTTGAAAAATTTTAGCCTTAAAACGTTTATTTAGGCGAAGAAGTCCCGAAATAACCCATTTCTTTCATTGGCACTTGAAAAAATCATAATTGTTTTTATTTTTTTTTTAATAACTTTGGGAAGTTTTCAAATAGAATATTCATATTAGAGGCAATGAAAGTTATCTGTGAAGTTTGCAGAGTGTGCAACCGAATTAAAAATAAGTAATTTTTAGCAAAAAAAAACCGACTTAAAAAAATGTATATATATCTATATATATTTAATGATCCAATGATCGGACCTAAACCAGATTAGTATGGGACCACCTCTGAGACACTCCCTTTCCGATGCGAAAACAATTTTCGAAATCGGTTGACGTGGTCCAAAGTTATGCGGTAATATACATAAACAAAAAAAAAAATAAAAATAATAAAAGAAAAACAAAATATTCCAACGAACTAATAACCTCCTCCTTTTTTGGAAGTCGGTTAAAAAAATAGCAGAAATATGCAGAATATCTGTCGCAGCTATTTTGTAATTTTTGAAATTTAACGATTATTTGATTTTAAAAGTTTAAGAAAATTGAAAATTTCAACATTGAACAGTGTTTAAGCCGCCGCTTAAACCTTATTCAGCGGCCGTGAGCGCATCCTTTGGCGGCAGTGGAGTCGAAGCGACTCCGAAAATTATTACCGAGCGCCCACGGCCGCCTACCATCCTCGCAAAAATTACCACCGAAGGCAGTTCAGCTACTACAGTCGGACAACGCGCCCTTTTAAACTAATTCGTGGAATTACAGGCATATATATATATATCTCTGCTGTTAGACTTAAAGTTTAAATAAAAAACCAAAAACACCGGTTGTGAATTTTAAAATACTAGCAAACGTTTTTCCTTTAAGCGGAAACTAAAGTGTTTAGTGAGGTGAGTGCGAAAGGCGACCACTGGAAATAATCAAACAGTGAAAATGTTTTTCTTGTTAAAACGAACCAACCTAGAGTAATAAAACTAGTGTGCCACCAAATGAAAAAATAAAAATAAGATACATTGATCACACCGTACGACAGTAAATTTTGCAAAAAAAAAAAAAAATTAATTTACCCGCGAAACTATGGTTACAAGATATTTTTTAAAAGAACTTTGAAATTTAAAAAATATGATTTTTTCAAAAAAAAATATTTAAAAAATTCAGTGCAATGTAGTATAACAATAAGGGTATCATATGAAAGAAAAAAATCTGTATATATAACAGAATACATTTTTTGGTCCATAAGGACGAATGGGCATGAAAAATGTTTTTTTACAAATTTTGTCCTTAAATATCCTTCAAAATTTGCAATATTTATTTTCGAAAAATTATTGTTTGAGGCCTAATATACATGCCTCATCATCATCGGATTTCCTCCTGCAATATTTATTAGCTTCCTTTTTAAGTTCAATACCAATTCGTCCTTGTAAACCAAACAAATTTATTGTTTTTAAATTCTACAGAATTTTCTCTCTCATCTGGTGCCTATATTGTTATTCTACATTGCATTTATTTTTTAAAATAGATTTTTGAATTAATCATATTATTAAAATTTCAAAGTCCTTTGAAAAAAAAAAAAATCCTGACTTCAGAGTGAAAAACTAAGAACACAGCTGTTCTACATTTGGTTTCGTGAGTATATCGATTCTTTCGTGTGTTTTCCAATTTTTTTGTTTTTGTCGCACGGTGTTATAAGATGACGAAGATTTGCGAAACAAAAATTACAATTTTACAATTTTTACTGGAACACACGAAATTTATTCTGAAATTCTCATATACATACATACATGAAAGTCATGAAGAAATTAATATGTATATAATATATATACTCTAGAAAAATATTGCACGCCAATATTTATGTATATACTTGTAAAAAATATGACTTTTAAGTTAAGGCCTGCGAGTAAGTGTGTTAGCTGACTGTGTATGGTGCTAGGGGGTATATATGTACGTTACGTACACAACTAGGGGAATATGAAAACGAGTTTTCGTTTTAACTTTTTTTCGTACATATACCTTTTTTAAGTTTTCATTTCGTACATATATCTTTTTTAAGTTTTCATTTAAGTACAATTTGGCAATGTAATCTTCTTCTTTATGCAAAACTGAAGGTAATGCATTGTTTAAGATAAGTGTGCCACCATGTGTAGGTCAGTAGTTGTACAGTAGCATTTTTCAACTGTAGCACTCTTCCCTTAGCCTTGAAATGTAATTTCGTCTGCCATGCATGCCACCTTACACTTTCGATTTTCATTATTACGTCTTTACATCTCTACTTTCTGCAAGCTTTTGTAGAGCAAACTGCTATTTATTTCCTCCTACATTGGTTTCAAATATACTTATTTACACATACATACATACATATGCACATTCCACGCTGTTGCGGTTGAAATTGAAAGTGGAAAATGCTAGCTGCTGTGAAATTGTAGCCATTTCTATTTTGACTTTCTTTACTTTGCTCTGTTTTAACTTGACACAATTACTTCTTACACAGCAGAGCTGTCTTAGATGTGTGTTTACTTACCAGAGTTAACGGTATACACAATGTGTGACTATTGTTAGCATTTTCTACAATGCCATGCTTTGTTTTTAATTGCCTCTTTCCACTTATAATTCCTTTTTATCGCATTTATTTCAATATTTGTATATGTATTCGCAAGTATGTACATATGTATTTATTGTTATTTACTTGTTTACGTTTTTCGTTGACTTTGGTCACTTTGTGTAGCCAGTGCTGCCAAAGTCCGCGGTCTTTCTGACCCAGTAAACTGCTTTTCATACGGCACCCGCCAGCAGCTGCAATGTTAAAGCAAGTAAATATGTTTATACTGCTCTGACTCGATCATTCGTGCTCTGATGCATTTAACGACGACGACATTGGATTGGATAAGCAGATAAACTACGAGTAGTATGTTTGTTTGAGTGCTGAAGCGCAGGGTGTGGTAGCAGTTGGAAAATATGATGTGAATGAATTTGTAGGTGCAATGGGGTGGAAAGTATGTGTGCTTTAAATACTTGTTGAGCCATATTTTAGCAGCATTGACTGATGTCACTGACTGATGTAATTTTTGCATGAATATGTATTTAAATTAATTCATTGTTATTGTTTGTGCGTTTTTTCTAATAATCACATTGGAGAATTTTCGTTCAATAACACAGTTTTAGAGGTTTGTCTTCATCTGCCATTGCCGATTTCCAAAAAAAAATTTTTTTTTTGTGTACAAAAATCAACATTTCATTAATACCTGTAGTTCAAACTTTAGCTAAAATTTAAAATCATAAAATTGCAAGAAAAGCTTTTGTATGTATGTATTTTAACCAGGGACCGAACATAACAGTTATTGATAAAAACTGTCATGCAAAAATTCACTATGAAGGAAATGTTCTACAACTAAGTGAAACATACCAATCGATTTCGTTTTGCACCGAGACTCAAATTTGAAAATAAATTTTTATTTGCAATTTTTATGCAAAATTTAAAAATATAACAATTATATTTGATTTTTATATTATAAATCCAAAATAACAATTATTTTTGATTTTTATATTATATGGCTTAGATAACAGTTATTAAAGAGTTTTATTTATAAAAGTCATCAATAAAAATCAGTCAGTGACTTTTACTTTTAAAATTCATTAATATAAATCAGTGACCGACTTTTGCTTTTTAAATCAATCGTATAAAAGTCATTAACATGTTTTCGCAGTTAAGAAGGTGTTGGAAAACAAAAGTTTACTACGACTTATTCAAATGACTTTTATAAGTATGATTGAAAAAATAAAGATCAGTGACTGATTTTTATTTATGACTTTCATAAATAAAAGTCTTCGATAACTGTTATTTAAGACATATAAGTTAAAAATCAAAAATAACTGTTATTTGCGGATTATTTAAATAAAAATCAAGAATAATTGTTATTTTCGTTTTATAAAATAAAAGTCAGAAATAACGGTTATTTAAAGAGTAATTAAATAAAAGTCAAAAAATAATTGTTAAAGAGTGATTTTTTTAATAAAAATTGTAACTGTTACGGTCCCTGATTTTAACTTAAGTTCTCATAACTGCTACATTTAAATTCGGTGTAGATAAGCAGGATCTTATTGTATTTACATAAGATCATACTTTGACGTCTTTTTTCTGACATTTCTTAATATTGATGCTTGTTGAAAGAATATTTATTTTGGAAATTGTCTT